CCCCCCAACCCACTTGGCACCTAGGGCTCCTCAAGAGTAGTGAAAATAGAGGGTTGTACGATATACCGTGGTGGAAATAACATGGAAGGGGTTCGAGAAAAACAAAACAAAACAAAAGAAAACTGTCCAGAATAGCCTTTCACTGTCGCTTTGTGTCATAGCAAGTTTGAACTTCCTGTTTGAATTCCCCTTTGAATGCTGTAGCCTCTACAGTGACGTTGAAACTCGTCCACACCCACACGCGGAACAATCATCCCCTTAACGCCCTAACTAAGCCGTTTTCCGACCTGAAAGCCCAGTTATGAGAGGGCCTCGAATTCATCCTATGGGGAAGTCTTAGAAAATTTTTTTATGTAAACTGTTACTTTAATAATGCTTATTTAACCTTCCCTTCCTGCAAGTTCTGAATCGAAAAAAAAAACGATCATACTCTCGTGCTCTTGCTTTTGACTAGGTGCGGCTACAAATTTTAAAGATCTATTGTTCTCTAAAACACATTCAAAAGTAATTTAAACATGGTAAACGTGCTCATCTCAATAAAAATGCGAACGACACAATAACTATGCGTTCCCTTACATCCTAGACCATCTTCCAGTCACAATTAACTTTGATTGTAATGCACCACACGCCGGAGTGCTGCAGACAGCTAGAAGAAAGTCCACTCACAACTCATAGTGTTAATACTTTGTTATTCGCAATGATAGAGAATTTCGACTTCCCCGAAGCGACAGCTTCGATTAAACAGGGGTGTGTGGTACATTTGAACCGAACGCAGCAGCAAAAGAATTACAGGAATAAAAGAATTAATAGCAGAAAAATAAAAATAATAGGTGCTAAGTGAGTTGGGGGGGGGGCACGGGGCGGCGCGGCGCCTTTTCATGTCTTTGCCCTCTCCGGCGAGACAGTAGACAAGGAAGAGTAGGCGAGTCCGTAATGGTGTTTAGGGACGTTTCATAGTTCTTTCATGTTATAACTGCGTGTTTTTCACCTAATTTTAGGAAGGGAAGGGGCTCCGGGGTGGGTGAGCCAATTGGACGTTCAGCTTTTATCTCATCTCAGCTTTTTGCACGAAATAACCATCCCACCCACCCCGGAGCCCCTCCCCTTCTTAAAAAATAGGGTTTTATCGGCTCAGAAGAAGAGTATCCATAGTATGCAAGCATATAACATGGGCCAAGAGGTAATTGGTTGAATCACGAAACACTTCAGTACAACCTCACCATCCCTTCCCAGACTCAGGCGCACTACTACTATCTCGCTGGAGAGGGCGCAGACATGAAAAGTGGCCCCTCCCAACCAACTTAGCACCAAATAATAATCGCCACGATCAAGCTGTATGAAAAACGATCAAACTGCAATACCGAGGCAACTTGACCGCGGCTGCCGCGTGCGGCGAATCGCTTAGACCAAACCGACTAAATGACTCGAGAAATCTTTTGAGAAAGACATTCCGGGAAACAGCACCGTTCACTTCTGTATACATACCAGTCATATTAGTCGGTCGTCTCAAAATCTGCTTCGCATTCGAGCACTGCAAATATTAGGGTGTCCCAAAAGTTTTGAGAAAATTTATTTGGTTTGTTCAACACAAAAATACTACA